TTTATCTGCACCCTCCAGCTTTCCCATGTGCCCAAACTCAGGGAACCTGGGGGCTAAGCAGGGGAGTGTCCTTGGGGACTGCAGGGCTGGGTCATGCAGAGGAGACACCTCCTGGGCTGGACAGCTCTGCTCTCTCACCATCTCAGCCCTGCTCCATGCCACTGGGGACCTGCTGGGCTGACAAGGACTGTCCTGAAGGGGAGACAGGGACACACAGCCATGGTCACTGTGGACCTTGTCTTCCAGCACCTCCACTGGGATGGAGGATCAGGGGGCCAGGCTGGGACCATGGGTGGCTCCTGTGTGCAGGCCCGATGGTGGCTCTGCGTCTCTTCTTTCTGCCAGCAGCCCCCTGACCACTCCCATCCCAGGCCCTGTGGAGATTCCAGGCCTGGACTTTGTCTTGTGTTTTCAAGGCATAAAAACGGGTCAGTGTGTGGTCTTCAATGGGACCCACCGGACCTGTGAGATCTGGGGCTGGTACCTCATGGAGGGTGACATCGTGCCTGTGTAAGTGTCCCCGAGACCCAGAGCACTTCCCAGGACCAGCAGAGCCTGTCCCTTACCTCCCCCACCTGCAGGAAGCCTTTGCTGGTCCAGGCTGAGAACTTCACCCTGTTCATCAAAAACACTGTCACCTTCGGCAGGTTCAACTTCTCCAAGTGAGCACGGTGGGTCCTGGCTGGCCCAGATCCTCCTTGTCCCCTCCTGGCCTGACCACTGGCCCCACCTCCTCTCAGGTCCAATGCCTTGGAGACCTGGGACAACACCTATTTCAAGTGCTGCCGCTACAACCCATACTTCAGCCCCTACTGCCCTGTGTTCCACATCGGGGACCTCCATGGCTGGAGGGGTCTTTGAGGACCTGGAGTTCCTGGTGGGTCTATCGGGGGCAGGGTTCCGGGAGGGATCGAGGAGAGGGTCCCGGGCCCGCGTGCTGGTGGAGCAGTGATGCGCTGTGTGCAGGGCGATGCTGTGGCATCCATGTCCACTGGGATTGTGTCCTGGATGACGGGGGGCCCCGACTGCCAGCCCAACGACTCCTTTCAGCTGCAGGAGAGGAGCTCCAACTTCTGGTGCGGCCCCACTGCCCGCCCACTGCTCCTCAGCCAGATCCTCCCCCACCCTCCCCGTGTGGCAGCCGGGACAGACTACAGCCTGGCTCGTCCCTCTGGACGCTCTGGTGTGTGTACGAGGGGGTCCCAGGGCAGGAGGGGGTCTCTCAGCTCCAGGTCCCCCAGCACAGGCTCCGTCCAGCCTCCCTCCTGAGCCCTTTGGCCTCCACCCCATCTGTCCCCACACCCTGCTGCAGCTGGGACCCCTCACCCCAGGCCCTCCTCCACTCCGCCCTGCCTCCAGCACCTCCCTCCATGGCACAGGGGCTTTCTTTTTACTTTTTTCTTAAGATTTTATCTAAAAAAATTACAAAAATCCACAGAAAATGTCAAAGATTAGTACTGTGAAAACCATATAACCTTTGTCTCCTTTCACCACTTTTGTTTTTGTTGTTTTTTTTCACCATTTTGCCCCATTTGCTTTCTCTCTCCCTCTCTAGAGAGGGGCTGGATATATTTAGATGTATTTCACAGGAAACTGTTGGAAAGTGAGTGGCAGATAGTCGACACTCACCCCTCTCAACGCCGTCCTGAGAACAAGGACCTTCCCCAGGTGACCGCTGTCCTCTTGTCACTCTCAGGAAATTTAACATTGGCAGATAAATCTAATATTTAGATTGCTCCAGTTGTGCCAATAATTGTCCTAAATCTTTTTATTTTCTGATTCAGGATGCACTCAAGGCTCTTGCATTGCATGTATTGCCATGTCTTTGAGTCTCCTAAGCAGACCTGTCCCATCCTTCTGCCCCCTCATGTCACCTTGTCACCCTCATGCAGACGTGCACACAGCCACCAGGCCTGGAGGTGACACCTGTGACACTGCTCGCTGGGCCCTCCTGGCCTGGCTTTGCTGGTCCCCCAGCCCTGTGCAACCATGTGGGGCTGGACCCGCCCATGCCCTGCTCCCCTCCCCTCTACACTCTCCCCGCCCTCCATCTCTGCCTAGAGCTCCTCCCTGAGCCCTGGGAATCCAGCCTGAGGGGCTCCTGGCTGGATGTCTTCCCTGGCTTCCTGGGGGAGAGTGAGTGCCCATCTCTGGACCCCACAGCCCAGGGCCTACCCCACCACCCCCACCCCCACTGCTGGTGTCTGTTTAGGGACCCTTCTGTCCACAACCTCTCAGCAGGCAGGGAGCTTCTGAGAGGCAGGTCCCAGCTTATTTGTCCCCTGTATCATCAGCAATGACACAGGGCCTCAATGTGACTGTCAACCCTGAGTAGACAGAGGCGTCTTCCCCACTCCCACATCCGGTTGTCCAGGTGCCTTTAGAGGGGGCCCAGCACCTGCCCCCACTGCTGCTGCTGCTGGGAGCTGGACACCATTGCCAGGGTGGGCCTGGCACCCACTCACTGGAGCATTCCTGAGGCCTGTAGCCTTTCTCTGCTGGATGAGAATTTTGGGCTGGTAAGAGTGGGGGCCCAACCTAGGGGAATCATGGCTAAAGCCCTGGCAGGACCAGGGCAGGGGTGGGGGATAATTCCACCCTTCAGCTCCCAGGCAGGCTGTCCCTCCCCCAGCTCCAGCCTCGGCAGGTGCTGCCTGGGGACCACAGAAGCCAGTTTTGTGTAGAGACTGCAGGGAACAGACACAGGGCGCTGGTCCAGTGGGGCTCCGGCTGGGGCTGGGGCTGGAGACGCTCTTCCAGGCTCCGTCTCCAGTGTTCCCAGCAGCTCCCCGCTCACCGCTCACCAGCTGTCCACCATGCTGGCTGTGGTCGCCTCTGACCCTGCCCACCTCCCAGCCCTCCTCCCCCTGCCGGCACCCCCCTCACAGGGAGACCCGCTGCCCTCTGAGCTGCCCTGCACTGGGGTCTGTGCAGCCAGAGTCCAAGGCCAGGGAGAAGGCAGCCTGACAAGAGTAGCTGTGGCAGCTGCTCTGTGCTGGGTTCCCAGGGTAGTGCCCCTCCCAGCTCTGGGCCTCATCCATGGAGTGAGGAGTGTAGTCAGCAGATGCTCCAACCCCCTAGGACCCCAGGCAAGGGCACAGGACCCCTTGGGCCCCTACCTGCTCAGCTGATGAGCACCAGCCCCTTCCTGGTGGCAGCCCATGGGTTGTGGAGGGCTGGGATGGGGAGGTGGGTAGAGGGGCTGTTGGTGGGCATGGGGTCCTTTGAGACCTTCTATATATCTGCTTGGTGGCCCTAGCCCAACACCTTGGGACCTGCTCACCGGGCTCCTGGGAGGCATGGGGTGGGGGCTGTATATCTGGACACATGTCATTGCTGCCCAAGGTCACACTTGAGAACATGTCTGGGCAGCTGCCCACCCAGCCTGAGGCAACTGCACGAGGATCATGCTCTGACCAAGACCCCAGGTGGAACCCAGGGGCTGGAGAGAATGTCCCTAACAGAGGACATGGAGCCCCCAGCAGGCTGGCCTGGTTCAGGTTCTGGAATCCCCCTGGGGGCCTGAGTCCTGCCTGCTGGAGAATTTCCCCATGTCCTGGGCCCACGGTCAAGAGGGGAGGGACGGGGCTGCAGGAGCCAAGCCCTCTCTGGGTCCCAGGGAGGGGCAGGGTTTGGGGTACCCACCCCAGGGAGACAAGGGGCTGCCTTCTCATGGGTCACTGGTGAGCAGGGCCGTGCTGGCAGCTTGTGGGTGGAGCGACATGGGCCAGGCTGGGCAGCATCTGGAATCATCTGGCACCTGGAGCCTCAGCAAAGCCTTGGGGTCCCTGCTGCCTCTCACCCCCAGAGTAGTGTCCATGGGAGGTGGGTTCAGAAGGGGCGAGGTGAGAGGTCACGGCCCTGAGGCCTGGTTATTGGAGCGGGGTCACGTGTCCCTGGTTGTCCTTGGGGCCCAGAGAAAGTGATGTTGAGGCTGCAGAGAGTTGAGGAGTAAAGCTGCCAAAGCCAGAGGCTTCCTGTGTGGTCCTCACAGGCAGGAACGTGGATGGGGAGGCATCTATGGTAGATGGAGTGTGGCCTTGGGGAGACCATTGCGGGTGCATGGGGACCCGCAAGGCCCAGGTCACAGCCACCAGGTGGGCTGAAGGTCCCTGGAGCAGGTCCAGGCGCCTGTGCACCCACCTGCCCACGTGTGTCCCATCCTGAGCCTTTGTCACAGACCTGAGGGGGTGGCAGGGAGAGAGGCCACTGGAAGCTGCGGGCAGCCCTGGGCTGGGAAACAGCTGCTGCCTCAGTCTGCAAGTGGGTGCATGCCCAGGGGACCATGTGGGCCATGTGGGCCATGTGGGCCTGTACCTGAGAGACGTGCGTGCCCGGGCAGGGAACATCTCCATCTGGGGCAGGCCTCAAGACATGCCCTGCTCTCTTGGAGCCCTGGGAAACCAAGGGAACCGCAGAACTCCACTGCCTTTTCTAGGTGGCCTCCGGGGGTCCAGGCTCTGCTCTATGAAACCCCTCAGGGGACATGTGGGGGAGCCTGGGAGGGAGTATGACTCTGCCCTGTCAGGGACCCCTCTGTGTCTGGTGTGTGTAGCTCCCCTCTGAGCTGGGCAGAGGGCACTGGCCTGAGTGCAGGACCCCAGGACCTAGGCCTGGCTGTGACCCTGACTCAGGCTTATCCCTGGGCTACAACTTCCCCCTTAGAGAACCTCAACACCTTTGCTGTGGGTTGGGGACAACAGTCTGGTTCCCGGGGGCAGACGAGAACTTATTGACACAAAGAAAGACATAGTGGGCACGGCAACAGCCCCCATGGCTGGCCGAGCAGTTATTACTGTGGGTCCCTGGGACTCAAGGCTCTTCCCTGCCCACCCTACTCCATCTGCCCAGGTAGCTGGACTTGGTCATAAACTGGAAGGCTCTGGGCAGAGTCCACCACACCAGCGCTGGCCACAGCCCACTCCCAAAGACTCGAAGCTCGGCACCTGGGCTAAGGTCCTGAGGTCCTGAGGACACCCTGGCATGAGCAGGTCTGCAAACATGAACTAGCCTGGATAGAAGAGGCTGCCAGAACCTCTGGCCTCCTGAGGAGGTAGGGGAGGGAGGGTGGGCAGGCAGGTCCCCAAAGGTCCTTAAGGACTGGCGGGTTGCTCCATGTGGCCGGGCTCTTGGGCTGGTGCCTGTCTTGGGGGTTGCACGGCTGACACCATCTCCTCCAGGCTGCCGTGTGGGGCAGTCACCTCTGACTGTTCCCACTGGTTCTCCCTGCTGTGCCTGATGCCATAGCCAAAATACACCACGAGTCCTGCAAGGGTGGCACAAGCCTGAGGGGCAGGTCTCAGGCCTGCTTCCCTGCGTACCCTCCCCCTGCAGTCCCCTGTGGGTCCCAGCTGGGCCCCCACTCACCCATCAGCAGCCAGATGGAGAAGCACAGCCAGGTCAGGTAGCTCAGCTGCAGCATGAGGAAGATGTTGAGGAGGATGCTCAGGGCGGGAGTCAGGGGCACCATGGGAACCTGAGGGGACAAGGACAGGGCTGGGCTGCAGGGAAGGGCTGCTGGCCCAGGGCCTGTTTTCTCGGGAGTCCAGAGACATTCTCCACCTCTGGAGATTCCGGAGACAAGGGCCCCCCCGCCATGCAGAGAGAGGGGTGTGGGGCACTGGCCTCCCCGCCCTGCAGCCCTGGTGCATCCTGCCACGGCAGAGGAGGAAGGGGCGAAGGGAGCTGGCTGGGCTGAGCGCGGTGGGTGCTGGCTGGAGGAAGTACCTGAAAGGTGTCCTGCCAGCGCTGTTGCTGGTGGGCCCCCAGGACGAGGAGACTGAGCAGAAAGGTGATGGAGCTGAGCAGGAGCAGCAGGGTGTAGCCCCAGGGCGGGAGGTGCAGGGCTGAGTCCCCGAAGACCAGCACGCAGCCCAGGGTGATGGCTGAGGCCACCAGGACACTGAGGGCCCAAGCCACAGCGGCTCCGGGTCTGCACCCATCCAGGAAGCCGAGGTAGGGCCTCAGTGCTGGTCGCAGCTGCCCGGGCTCAAGGGCTGAGGCCTGCTGTGTGTCCACAGGGTTGACTGGGTCCTGAGAACTGGATGGAGGGGCCTTTCGGAAGCGCAGCAGGATAACGCTGGCAGCGACAAAAGTGTAGGTCAGCAGTGCACTGATGCAGTGCAACTGCACCAGTGCCTCTTGGTCTTGCAGCACTGCCAGGAAAGCCATGAGGACCCCGAGCACCAGAACGCCTACAATGGGCACCTGGGTCCGGGGATGCATGCGGGTGAACACCTGGAAGAAGAGCCCGTCGGCAGCCAAAACACAGACCATACGTGGCAGGGCAAGGAGGTTTCTGATCAGGACATTGTTCATGGCTGTGGCAGAGGGTGGGAGACTGGTTAGCATGGTGGACCGGCCCTCCAGGGGACACTGCTGGGGGCCAAGACATGGGTGACCCCTTGGGAACATGGCTATGAGTTTGATTTCTCAGAGTGAGCCTAAGTGTATGTGGGTGCTGGATTGTTCCCCCTCACCACCCAGGAATGGGACACCCCAGTTTAGGTGACAGACCCACTGGAGAATATGATGAGGGCTGAGTCCCTCTGCCTGGAAGGATCTGGAAGCACGTGCCCAGAACTGACATTCTGTGTGCAACTGGGAGGGGCAGTGAGTAGGTCCCTCCCAACAAGCCCAGGTGGAGAGTCTAATCATTAGCACCTTTCCTGGGACCATGATGCAACTGGGAGCACAGGCCCAGATGGAGATGTGTTCCCTGGAGGCTTAGAGCAAGGCCCCACCACCCTGTTCCCTCCCCAGTTTGCCTGGCAGCTCCCCTTACCAGAAACAGATTCCATCACCACAGTGAAGCCTGTCCAGCTATAGCCCCGCTTGTAGAAGGCATCAGCGAGCGCCCAGTCAGGGTCCAGGCTGTGCCAGGGCACCAGGAGGGTGAGCACAGTGGAGACAAGGATGTTAGCACCAGCCACCAGGCCAAGAGAGATGGCGATGGCCATGGGCATGGCTCGCTTTGGGTCCCAGGCCTCCTCGCTGGAGGCAGCAACAATATCAAAGCCCACAAAGGCATAGAAGCAGGTGGCGGCACCTTTCATGATGCCAGAGAAGCCAAAGGGTGCAAAGCCGCCCTCCTCAGGGCTCCAGTTGTGCGGGTCGGCCAGGAGAAACCCCAGGATTATGATGAAGAGAATGACGACCAGGCTGATGGCAAGGAAGATGGGGTTGAGCCAAGAAGAGAGGTGGTGTGTGCGTGAGACAAATATGGAGGCTAAAATTATGAGAACAGCAGCCAGGAAGTCTGGGTACCGGGCCAAGAAAGGCACCTGCCAGATGCCCACATGTGCCTCAGTGAAACTGCGGATGCGGTGGCTGAAGATGGCGTCCAAGTAGCCGCTGCAGAGACGTGCCACAGCAGCTCCACCATGGAGTTGCTTGAGGATTATGTTCCAGGCAATGAAGAAGGCCCACAGCTCACCCATGGACGCATAGGTGAACAGGTAGGCAGAGCCCGCACGGGGCACATGCACTGCAATTTCTGTGTAGCATAGGGCTGCCATCAGGGAGGCCAGGGCAGCCACAACAAAAGACATGAGTCCTGCAGGGCCAGCCATCTCCTTGGCTACAGTGCCTGTGAGCACGTAAAGGCCCGAGCCCACCGTGGCACCCACACCCAGCAGAGTCAGGTCCAGCGTGGTCAGGCAGAGCTGCAGCGATGTCTTCCTGGTGGACTCCAGTGTCTTCAGCCGGTTCAGCTTCTGGCAGAAGCGTGCCAGGCTGGTGGTGCTGGGCAGTCCCCGGGCCATGGTGGGTGGCTGAGATGAGCACCAAGACAGATGCTGGCACCTACAAGAGCCAGAGGGGAGTGAGAGGCTGCCCTGGGTGCTGACCAGACTTCAGTCCTTGCTCTGACCTTGCCCTGGGGACCCAAGCCTGGAACCACTGGCAGCTGCAGGGCTGGATGAGGCAGGCTCAGGGCCTGGCAGCAGGGTGGGCAGGAGGCCACAGGGAAGTGTGGGGATCCTTTCAGCCTGCCTCCAGGGCAAAGGAGGGAGCCTGATGGAGCTAGACTTCAGCATGTTTGGGAGGGGCCCTAAGCCTGGGGAGAGGCAGCCCCAGAGAGCCAAGATAGGAACCGCTCCAGTGGTCTGGGATCTGAGAGCAGGGTGGAAACCCAAGGCTTCCCCAGAGCTGGGCCAGGCCTTTAGGACCCTGAACAGGAATGACTCTGGCCCTGGGCTACACCCAGGTGGCCACCTGTCCTCATACAGCAGTTTTCATCCCAGCATAACTCTCCCTGCTGGGCTGGTGTATCAGAGGGAGAGGGGGTACCCCGGGCCCTGTGCCTGACGCCAAGGACCCATGCCCAGCCCCGATGTTGAGCCACACCACTGCCCAGCCACCTCCAGAGCCGGTTTCACTGTGCCCCTCTACCCAGGTACCAGAGCGTTCGACTCCTCTCTTGACTTGCTGTGACTTACCTGCTTCTCTGTGCCCGTCCCACCCCAGGGTGCCAGAACCAGCACTGGGCCCTGCCTCGTGGTCACACAGACACTCAGTCCACCCTGCCCACACCTCACACGGTCAAGGCCAGAGCTTCCCAGGTTCTGGGGAAGCCCTATGACTGTGCTGGGTTCACTGATGAGGTAGCCCAGGCCACCAGGTAAGTGACCAGCACAGGTCATGGAGGTGGCCTCAGGAGGTGTGTGGAGGCTAAGGTCCAGGTCTTGGTGGGGTCTGGAGCCCACCCTCTTTCCACTGCTGCAGACACCTGCCTTGATCCCTCATCCCAACACACGGACTCCACCAGCTGGGCACCATTCAGGCCCCTCGACCCTGGGAGGTGTGGGGGCTGCGGGAGTCAGGCAACAGGCTGGGTAAGATGAGGGTCTGAATGTGGCTTGGAGGCCCTGGGCAGTCCCTGACCTCTGGCACAATGGGATGGCAGTAAGCCACCCTCACCCACTGACGAGGGAGTGCCCGGCTGTGGGGAGTGTTCTGTGAATTGACAGAACTCGTGCTGGCTGTTCTGACCTTCCAGCTACAGAGAGTGTCCTGAAAGGAGACAAGCAGACCCCTGGGGATGACTTCCAGCCCTCCAGCTTGGGGCACCCCTAGGGCCCCTCAGACCCCAGTGGCAGCCCCTTCCAGCCCAGGAGCACCTGTCAAGCCTGGAGGACCCTGGGGGACCCTAACAGCAGCTCTCACCTGTGGATATCTGTGAGAGGTGTCGTGGACTGAGCATCTGCTCCATGCCAGTACATGCATCACAGGGACACATCACATGTCTCATCACATGACCAACACAAACCCCCTCAGGCTTATTTATTCCTGGAGCTGAGGGGTCTTTGTCCTTCCGCTCTTCCCACTCCTTTGAAAGTGGAAAAATTGGTGTCACAGGGTGTGAACTTGCTTACAGCAAAATGAGGACAATACATCCAAGAAAAGGAAAACCAAAACAGTCATCCTCTTCTCACAGAACTCTTTCCATGTTGTCAGGTTTCTATGTGGTTTGTGGGATAGGACGTTAGGGGCACCTGCAGGCTGTCTGGCTCAGTGGGATGATGACAGGGTGGTGGACTCCCAGGCAAGATGGCACCACTTGGAGCACTCTGCCTTAGCCAGCCTCTTGCTCCCTTCTGGTATGTGGCTGACATTGTCTTGAGGAACTTCTCAGATGGGCTCCCACTTCCTGCAGGGGTGACCCCTCCCGCACCTCGCTACTTGTGGCCTAAACATAACTGAGCAGAGTTCCTTGTTCTGAAATGCCTTCACAGAAACCCAGAAAAGTGCATTTCCAACCAAGAGGCCTGGGCAGTTGCGTAACAGGAGCTCCCCCAAGGCCTGACCGACGGCCACCTGAGAGCTGGTGTGCAGGGTTTCAGAGCACTGACTTTTCATCCACCCAGAGAGGGGCTCTCACCACACCACCTTCACAGCCAACAGATCCAATGCATATTCATGGCCAAACATGGTTGATGCAGTAAACTAAATTTCCAGGGATATGGCTGGGCCAAGTGCTGGACCCCAGCGAGCAAGGCAGTTACACAGAGCAACACATGGAGATGCAGTGAAGAGAAAGCACCAAAAATACAGGAAGAAGAGAGAACACTTCCCATCTCATCCTACACAGCCAGGAGCACCCTGACACCAAATCCAACAAAGACATTATGAGAAAAGAAAATTACAGATCAATATCTTTTATGAATATAGATGCAGAATTGCTCAACTGAATACTAGCAAATCGAATCCAGCAACATATAAAAATGGCCAAGCGGGATTTATCCCAGGAATGCAAGATTGATTTAACATCTGAAAGTCAATCAATGGAATATGTCATACTAACACAATAAAGGACAAAAACCACTTGATTGTCTCAACAGACACAGAAAAAAACAGTCAACAAACCTGGACTAGAAGGGACCGCCCTCAAACTGACGAAGACCATCCACGAAAATCCCTCGGCTGCTGTGCTCAGTGGAGAGAGACTGAAAGCTTTCCCTTTGCTCAGTAACAACATCGGGAGGTCCTCTCACCACTTGTATCCAACATTTCACTGGGGGATCTGGCCATGGCAATTAGGTGAGAACATGAGATAAAAGGAATCCAGATTGGAAAGGGAGGAGTAAAACTATCTGTAACCACAGATGACATGATCTGATGTAGAGAAAACCCTAAGGAATCCACATAAAAAATATTACAACTGATAAACCAGTTCAGCAAAGGTGCAGGACACAAGATCAATATGCAATAATCATTTGTATTTCTGTACACGAGCAATGAACTGTCCGGAAATGAAATTAAGACAACAATTCTGCCTGCATTGCATCAAAAAGAATAAGCTCGGGGGCTGGCCCGGTGGCGCAGTGGTTAAGTGCGCACGTTCCACTTCGGCGGCCTGGGATTCGCCGGTTCGGATCCTGGGTGCGGATACGGCACCGCTTGGCAAGCCATGCTGTGGTAGGTGTCCCACATAGAAAGTGGAGGAAGATGGGCACGGATGTTAGCTCAGGGCCAGGCCTCCTCAGCCAAAAGAGGAGGATTGGCAGCAGATGTTAGCTCAGGGCTAATCTTCTTCCAAAAAAAAAAAAAGAATAAGTTCATGTATAGGCATACTTAGAATACATTTCAAAAAAGAACTGCAAAACTTGTACACTGAAAACTATTAAACAACACTGAAAAAAATTAAAGAAGACCTAAATAAGTGGAAAGACTTCCCACATTCATGGACTGGAAAACTTAAAATTGTAAAGATGACAATACTTCCCGAAATGGTCTGCAGATTCAGTGAAATCCTTATCAAAATATCAAAAGCTTGTTTTGCAGAAATTGTCAAGTTGATCCTAAAATTCATGTGGAGGTGCAAGGGACCCAGAAGAACCAACAGAATTTTGACAAAGAGCGAAGCTGGAGGACTTACATGTTCTGATTTCTCAACTGACTACAAAGCTACAGGAATCAAGACAGTGTGTTACTGACATAAGGAGAGACATAGATCAATGGAATAGATTTGAAAGTCCAAAAACATGGGAAAATAATTTTAAAAAATTTATGACCAATTTAAGTTTATGGCCAATTGAATTTTAAAAAGTAGACCATTTTATAGAGCAGTTTTAGGTTCACAACAAAATTGAGCACAAGTGGAGTTCTCATATACCTGCAGGGCCTACACAGGCACAGCCTCCCCCACTGTCAACATCCCCCACCAGATCGGTATTTCTTATAACTGATGAATCTGCATTGACACGTCATTATCACCTACAGTCCATGATTTACATTAGGGCTCACTCTTGGTGTTGGACATTTCATGGGTTTGACAAATGTATAACGACGTGTGCGCACTATTACAGTAAGCCCTAAAAATCCTCTGTGTTTCACCTACTCATCCCTCCTCCCCACCAACCCCTGGCAACCACTGATCTTCTCACTGTCTCCACAGTTTGGCCTTTCCAGAAGGTCATAGAGTTATAATCGAATCACACAGCATGTAGCCTTTTCAGGTTGGCCTTTTTCACTTAGTAATATGCATTTAATGTTGTCTTATGTCTTCTCATGGCTTGATAGCTCCTTTCATTTTAGCACTGAGTAATATTTCTTGTCTGGATGGACCACAGTTTATTTATCCATTCACCTAGTGAAGGACATCCTGGTTGCTGCCAAGTTCTGGCGATTATGAATAAAGCTGCTGTAAACATCCATGTACAGGTTTTTGTGTGGACAGAAGTTTTCAACTCGTTTGGGTAAATAGCAAGGAGTCTGGTTGCTTTATGGCATGGTAAAATTATATTTAGTTTTGTAGGAAACTGCCAAACTGTCTTCCAAACTTGCTTGGCCATATTGCATTCCCACCAGCAACAAATGAGCGTTCCTGTTGCTCTGCATCCTCAGCAACATTTGCTGTTGTCAGTGTATTGGATTTCTGCCATTCTAACAGCTGGGTAGTGGCATCTCATTGTTGTTTTAATTTGTAAATCACTAATGACACTGGATGTGGAGCATCTTGTCATATGCTTATGTGCAAACTGTGCATCTTCTTTGGTGAGGTGTCTGCTCAGATCTTTTGCCCATTTTTAGTTAGCTTCTTGGCTTCCTTGTCATTGATTTTTAAGAGTTCTTTCTAGATTACGGATAACAATCCTTTATCAGATATACTTTTACAAATATTTTCCCCTAGTCTATACCTCGTCTTCTCATTCTCTTGGTGTCCAATTCCTTTTTGACAAGAGATCCAAACAATTCAATGAGGGAAACAGTCTTCTCAACACACTGCAACAACTGGATCTCCACATGCAAATGAATGAAGTCAGACTCCTACCTCACACCACATGCAAAAATTAACTCTGAAT